GCTTTGAATTGCCGTGTTGCTGAAATGTGCTATATGAATAACAAGTGTTGCCTATGTAGCCAAAGTCTGATACTTTATATTTTAAATTTTATTGATCTTTGCCATAGCGCTCCGTTGTTATCTGAAAACTATTATAGAATTGTGAAATATGACTGCATATATGACAAAAAAGTTGTACAAAGCCTTTTGTGGCATACTGAGACTGAGCTACGCAAAGTCTGATTAATAGCCTCAAGCATCTGTTTGGGGCTAAAGACTACAAGTTTAAAGATGTAAAAATCTGGGGATGTGGACTTACTGTGGAAAGAAGAGAGCCTACAAGACCTCTGTCGCCTGCTCCTCATCTCAGCTGTTTGAGGCTTGTAGCTTGAGGCTACATTAGCCGCTACTAGTATAACTCACCTGAATATCTGACTGAACTGTGGCATTGTTTGTTTCTATTTGTCTACTATTTCATGACTTGCCCTTTAAAACCTAGTGGGATGTGCATTAGTACATTTCACTGGAAAACTTGTTTTTCTACTTCACTGTTGTTGTGAACTAATATAGATACTTGTAAATATTGCAGTAACCCTCTGTATTATGACTCCAGGGACAGATGGACAGACCACAAGCTCATGCGTGCACAACAGATGTAAGCCCCTGCATATGTTACATCTCAGTTAATGGGAAAATGTAAACATGTGTTTTGAGCGTTATCCAGAGTGCTGATGAGACGGCACGCTCCCGAACCATCACTGAAGCTCCCCAAGGAGCTCGCCGATGTTCTCGCCAGCACTCCCGCTGGCAGGTAACCAGGGGTCACTCCTTCCTTCCAATCTCAAGACTAACTCATCTATCAGCATTAGCTTATCCACCTGAGCGTTCCCCTACAGTACACATAACCCTCTGTGTTCTCTCTTGAGCTCAGTGTTGGGACTGTGAAGACGTTGCCAGCAGTTGGTTTTGAAGCCCACCTCTTGAGTAAAAGTTGTAGTTTCTCTCCAGTGCATGTAGTGAGTATGTACTTTTTCCGCATTACTGTTTTAGTCGTTTACCGTTTTGCCAAGATCTTCCTTTGTTAAATCATGAGTCTATAAATAAAAAAGCAACAAGACCCTCCTGAGTTTTGAGTCTCTACACAAGACTGCTTATCTCTTAATATTAGTCTTTATTATAGACATCACCATAGCAAATATATGAGCGTTATGATCACTCCTACAATTACACATAGACAGATATCAACTTATCCATTTAAACTGTGTATATATATATATATATATATATATAT